ACATTTTGGAAAACACCAAAAAGTAGAAGGAAGAAAACCCATGCCATCCAGAGGATGTTGGAGCCATTCCTAGAATAATGTTGTAGGGGTGCCTGTGTGGGAGGGTTGAGCATTCAGCTCAGGTCATGATCTCAGGGACATGAGATCCCGGGCCCCGAGCTAGGCATGGAGCCTGGTAAAGATACTCTCTCTAGGGGCACCTGGGTGGCTCAGTGAGTTAAACGCCTGCCTTCTGTTCAGGTCATAATATCAGGATCCTGGGATTGAGTCCCGCATCAGGCTCCCTGCTTGATGGGGAGTCTGCTTCTCCCTCTCTCCCTGCCCCTCCCGAACCCTTGTGCTCTTTCTCTCTCTCTTTCTCAAATAGGTTTAAAAAAAAAAGATTCTCTCTCCCTCTCCTTCTGCCCCCCTTAAATATATATATGGTAACAACATTACAGATAGTGACTCCATATCGTGATGAGCACCGAGGAAAGTATAGACTTGTTAGATCAGTATGTGGTACATCTGAAACAAAGAGAACAGTGGATGTTAGTTTAAAAAACTTTCAAATTAACTTCAAAAATTAAAAGAAATGAAGTCTGATATAGCTTACAGTAAAACAAAGCCCACCAAAACACCAGCTCTGCATCGCAATTTGTTTTAGGTGGTTGGTCCGGTCGTTTTCATACACACCATAGAATTTTATGTCTTGCTCTTCTCACTGCACATTATAGCAGAAGCACTCCCCAGCTGTGGCTTCCTGGGCTTCCCACTCCATCCCTGTGTGCCCGAGTGGGGAAGGGCTGTCATCAGTCACTCTGGAGCAGAGCGGCTCCAATTCAAATCCACAGTTTCAGAGCGCATGGTGCATTTTCGACTCTAATGGGATGCTTCCCAGTCTACTCTCCCCATCTCTCCCATCAAAGTGAGAGAGGGAAAAAGGGAAAGGTGCTTCCTCCTCATCTTCGATGGGAGAACAAATGCTCAGTTGTCTTCATCATGTGGTCTGGAAAAGGGAGAGCAGCCTCTCTCTGTATTTAATTAAAGCCCTATCTCTTCCGTTGGATATCCGTGTTTGGTTATCGGTGTATATCTGTCTTCTGGAAGTGCCTAGAGCATTGACTTTCTTGTCCTGAGTAGCAACCAGCAGAGAATTGTCACTCATTAATTGATGGGCAACACTGGGGCATTGAATGCACATGATAAAGGCAGAATCACCCATATGTGACTAGGATGACTGAACCTTGTAAGTTCTCTGAGAAAGAAGAGTTCGTTTAATACAGTGGTCATTGAGCCCCTGGGAAAAGCCAGCCTAGTAGAGCAAGTGATTAGGTCTCTGGGTCTCGAAGGCCCTGGAATCCCACTCTGACTCATTCCGGCTGGGATCTGGTTTTGCGCGGCACTCCCCTGGCCAGGATCCCAGCTGAGAACGAGGCCTCCAGCGGCGAACACTGCAGACCACAGACAGACTCTCTTCTGTCTTGAACATGGCCTTGAGTTTGGACCCAGCCACCAAGATCCCACGGGTGAACCCTGAGGAGGAGGCAACATGGGGGCAGGGAGGGAAATTTACCTCGTGGATCTGCAACTCCCCTTGACAGTTAGGTCTTCAGTGGGAAAGAGCTGACTCAGTCCAGCCAGATCTACTTCCTATAAGGCTGAATTGCCGCTATGGTTAACACCTGTTGTACCGTGGGGAACCCAGAGCTGGGCACAGGGGCTGTGGGGAGGAGGCTGATCATGGACTCCTTTCTCTTGCATTCCCTCCTTCTCTTGTGGGCTGCGCTAGATCTAGACAGGCTGGGGTGGCCAGGGGAGGTCACAGGCCTTGAAAGTGTCAATACCTGTGGCCCAGACCTACACCTGGGTTCCTGCCGCCTGCAACTTACAACAACTTGAAGGCAAAACCAACAAGGAGTAGAAAGGCAAGATCACAGGTTCCAGAAGGAGCTCTTCTGATCAGTCTGGTGATAAGAGTCACCCAAGGGGCTTTAACAGCCCCCCACTTTCAAGCTCTACCCCTGGAGATTCAGATGTCAGGGGTCTGACAGGGGAGAGTGACAAATGTGTATTTTAACAAGGAATCCAGCTCAGGTCATGAGGGGTGAAGGGTATCATTTGGGAGATTCGAAAAACACTATAGCCGACCCAGCAGGGAAGCGAAACAATGGAGGTCTGAGGGGTGGTTTTGGAGGGGCCACTGCTTCCTTCTGAGAAGGAGAGGCTGTCAGTGATAACAGTACCTCATGAATCTTAACAGAGCTGCTAGCATGGTCTTTGGCATCAGGAAAATGGAGGTTGGAAACCCAGCTTTGCGGGTTTGTGTGACCTTGGAAGTTAACTTAGTGTCCCACAGCCTCACTTTGCTCATCTGTATAATAGGAATAATTTTTCCCTTGAGAAACAATAAAATTAGGTAATGGGTTTAAAAAAAAAAAAAAGCATTTAACAGATGCCTGATACATACCCAGCACTCAGTAAAGCAATCAAAAATAAAACGTCATAAATATCGCTATTATTATGGCCAAGGGCACGCTGATGTGCCTTATGTCCTTTGTCATCGCTCCTTCCCCTCCCTCACTTGTAATCAAGGGGACATTTTTGTAAAAGGACTGGCAGAAGCTAATACAGCCACCGGACCCAACAAAACTCACAAGCCAGTGTCAGGATCGAACCATTCACTCTGCCCTCTCTAGCAAGATTAACAAAGGGCTTGAAGAATAATTGTCAATTACCTGATCACGCCCCAGATCAACACAGTCCAAGCTGGAAGACCTGAGTAGAGTGACCTAGTCTGGCTGCCCAGCTGACCCAGACAGAGAAGATGGAGAGAGAGAACATGAAACCCACACGGTTATGCTAAGGAGCAGTGGTCAAGGTTGGAGCACCATCCGGGTCCCCCAACCCCAGGGGCATCCAAGCTTTGTGCACTGAATCACAGCCGGTGCTCGGGAGCCACGTGTCCTGACCGCTCACCCTCCTTCCTCTCTTTTGGCCCCTTCCCTTTTTTCTCACTGCGCGGTCTACAGAGATGGTCAACGTCAATCATTTAACAAAAGAGGCAGTGCTCACAAAAAGCACAGCTCTTGAGCAGACCCATGTCTGATCTAATTCTATGAGGTAGATGGGGTGGCTCTGTTACGCACAAGAGGCTTCACGGATTTGCCCAGTCTGATGCAGCTGGGGGACTGTGGAAGGTAGGATTCGAATCCGGATCCAATTCTAAAGCCTCAATGCTTCCCACCTTGGACCAGGAAACCTGCTTGGCCCCTGAATGCCCTTGATCTGCCCTCGGGTCATGCATGTGCCCTGTCTTCCCCCAGACGGGTTCCTGCCCTGGCGCGACTGGGAGCCCGGAATGCGCACCGGCTGGTGATCAATGGGACACAACAGGAGCATTTGTCGAAGCCAGTTGCAAACTGTTGCAGTCTATATAGATTAAGCCACTGCCGCCGACTCCATGAAAGTAAATGAGCCTTTCCGACAGCGGCAGAAATAAATTTAAATGACAGTGCTGAAGGGCCCAGAGACTGCGGCTGAGTGAGTGTCTGTCTGCAGAAAATCGACAAGGACAGCTATCAGTCCCAGGGCTTCTATCCCAGGATGAAATTCCTCTCTATCTCAAGATCATCACTGGGGATGCTCTGACCACTCTGGCTTCCCACGGAAGGGTGCGGATACAATGACAATAGTAAAGACAGTGACAGCAGCTGGCGCGTGCTGGGCACTCACTGTGAGTGAGGCACCTACCTATAGGTACAGGTATGCTTTACCCACGTCAACCCATTGCACCCAGGAAACAGGGGAAACTGAGGCTCAGGAAGGTCAAAGCCACATGCCAGCTTGCAACTGATGGAAGTGGGTCTCAAGTAAATGTAGGCGATCTCGGGCATGATTCTGCCAAACAGTTGCCAGGGCCAGCCCTTGTTTAAATTTACTAGGTGGTTTTACATTCAAGGCAAAAATAAATCACACTTAGCAGGATATAGACTGCCCACCAAGGCCTGGCCCGACAACCACCCTGACTCACCGGCTTTCTCTCCAGTCACCCTCCATCTGCTTCCCCTCATATTCCTCTATTGTGCTCTCCTTCTTGCTCCACACTCTTCCTGTAGCCCTCTGTTCTGAACCTATCTCGTGATTCTGAATTTTCAAATCTTTCTGGGTCTCCCACAAGGTTAAGTTTAATTATTTATTTATTTATTTATTTATTTATTTTTAAAGATTTTTTATTTATTTGACAGACGGAAATCACAAGTAGGCAGAGAGAGAGGAGGAAGCAGGCTCCCCGCTGAGCAGAGAGTCCGATGCGGGGCTCAATCCCAGGACCCTGGGATCATGACCCGAGCCGAAGGCAGAGGCCTTAACCCACTGAGCCACCCAGGCGCCCCAAGTTTAATTATTTAGAAAAAAGAAAAAAGAAAGAGAAAGAAAGAAAAGAAAAAGTGCCTCCCCCTCAACCCCAGGACAATATAGCCCTGAGCCAGGGCTCACAGCTTGGAAAGGAGTGTGGGCTTGTTACAAGCCCCACTCGTCCCTTGGGTGATGTGCTTATGTAGTGAACAACCTGCCCAACTGTACATGGTGGTCCTGCCCCACAGACTGAGTTAGAGGACTATTCTCTCTGCCTTGTTAGCATGCTGAGCTTCTCTCTTTCTAAGCATCTATCATACCAAATATGATTATTTCTCCTTTCCTATTACCCCTTTCAGTACATAAACAACTGGCACATGAGACTCTTGTGCCCTTGGTTTCTGTAACCCTAATGCTTAGCTGGGGCCTGGCAGGGTCAACAGTAAGTCTGTATGGTCAGCAAAAGGAAGAAAGGAAGGGAGCACGAGACAGAAAGAAAAGGAGAGGGAGGAAAGGTCAGGAGAGAGGGAAGGAGGCAGTTCCCATATCTGTCCTGGCATCTTGCAAGTTTTCTGCCCCACCCTAGGCCCCCAGGTCAGGAGGTGGAGGACCTAACCCCCACCCTCAGCCCCAAGCTAACAGGTGTCTTTCCTCCTCTTCCATAGATGCATCCCAGGAAGCAGACATTGGCCCTTCGGGTGCTTCCCTTCTACCCTCCAGAGCTCTGGGGAGCAGCAGTCTGAACAAAGAGAGCCTTGAAGAGAGAGTGACTATGGCCCCTATGAATCCAGTGCAGTCAGGGGAAGATCTTCGAAAGCCAGGGCTGGAAGGGGAAGCCCCCTCGGCCGCCCTCTCCACGCGGCTGCCGGAGGAGACCGCCACCAAGCGCACCCTCCCCTCCGGGAAGAAGCTGCCTTCACTCAAGCAGGTGAACTCAGCCAGGAAACAGCTGCGGCCCAAAGTCACCTCCACGGCAGCGGTTCAGAGGACAGTGTCCTCCCCTGCCTCCTTGGGCCTGGGCCTCCTCTCCTCCTCTGCCACTGAGAAGCCCCGCCCCCCGGGAGACTCTGAGCCCGCTGCCTCCGAGGAGCCCCTCTGGCTGGACCAGAAAGCAGGTGCGGTCCCCACGACGCCCGCACCCCTGCAGATCTCCCCCTTCACCTCGCAGTCCTATGTGGCCCACACGCTCCCCCAGAGGCCAGACCCTGGGGAGTCTGCGGCACCTGATGATGCCCCCGAGGCTCCCCCTGAAGATGCCAGTCCCATAACCTTGATGGACAAAGGTGAGAACGAACTGACCGGGTCAGCCTCAGAGGAGAGCCAGGAGACCACGACATCCACCATCATCACCACCACGGTCATCACAACTGAGCAGGCCCCTGGTAAGCAGCCCCCAGACCCTCAAGCCCTCCTGCTGCAACCACAAGGCACCCACTCTGTGCAGGCTGTGGCGGAAGGGGAGCCAGGGAGACCCATGTCCCACCATCACTTTCCGCCTGTTGAGCATTGACTTGAGCTTAACCTCATGGCTCAGAATTACTATCCCCATTTTAAAGATGAGACAACTGAGACTCAGAGACATCAAGCAGTTTGCCCAAGGCCACACAGCTAAAGAGTGGGATTCAAACCTTTTTCAGCTTGGAATAGAATCCTTTAACCTGCTGAAGACCCTTGACTTTTCAGTCTTTTTTTTTTTTAAGATTTATTTATTTATTGAGGGAGAGCACATGTGAGGGGAGGGACAGAGAGAGAGACAGAATCTTAAGCTGATTCCTCACTGACAGTGGAGACTGATGTGGGTCTTGATCTCAGGACTCCAAGACCACCACTGAAGCCAAAACCAAGAGTCTGACACCCAACCAACCACTGTGCTAGCAGGTGCCCCTCAGAGTGCTTTTACTTTGACTGTTGCATTTATTTCTCCAGACTTGATAAAATGCACGTCTGTGTCCCAGTCTTCTATCTTCTTTTCTGTTTTCAAACAGAGAAGACAGACATCAACAGTCGATCATAGGTAGATTTGGGACAAGTGCATTATGGCCTCTCTTTAGAAAGTATAAGTTCTGGGTTTGAATCCTGCTCTCTGTGTGAGGTTGGCCCAGACACTACCCCTCTCTGAGCTTTGGTTTACATATCTCTAAAATGGGGATGAAATGTCAGGTCCTACAAGGGTGAATGGGGTCGGCCCTGTACAGTGGTTAGGATTGTGCCTAGTGGAATGAAGTAAGCAGTCAGCCTGTGTCAGCTACCACAGTTTTGATTATCATGTTGATTCTGGGGACTGAAGGAGAATTAGCAGCAGTGGGAGGGAGGGGGAAAGAAAAATGCTGGTGCCCCAGAAGCCCAGAGCCACCCTGCAGCCCATCTGAGACACGACATCTATCTGAGCTGTCCTCCGTGTCCTAATGAAAGTCCTTCCTCCAGCTCCCTGCAGTGTGAGCTTCTCCGATCCCGAAGGGTACATTGACTCCAGTGACTATCCACCATTGCCCCTCAGCGGCTTCCTGGAGTGTACGTACAACGTGACGGTCTACACTGGCTACGGTGTGGAGCTCCAGGTAATTGTAGAAAATCTCCTGGACTGTGCCTGCCTCTTCCAGCAGGAAGTCTCTGGAGGGTTGTCTGACTCAGGCTTACTGTTATTTTGGTTCCTTCTTTGCCTTAAGCGGGGCAATTTGAGCTGGGCTTTATTGAATGAATAGGAGTTCCCAATTCAATGCACAGCTGAAATAGGCATACATGGAGGAGGGGGAACTGTTAATAAATTGTGAGGTATTATACTCAGAAGGAAAGTCCTCTTATACCCTGTATCAAACACATTATATCCTGTATCAAAACTTTTGCCTGTAAGCTAAGAATGGAAAAGCAGAGTGGCATAGGGCTCAAACATCTGGATTTAAGTCCCAGCTCTACCAGTGAAAGCTGTGTGACTCTGGGCAAAGGATGTTACCTCTCTGAGCCTTGGTCTCTCCATCAGTAAAATAGAGATGATAATACTACTATTTTACAGATACTCAGGATGGTACGAATATGACAATGCACAGACCATTCATCCAGAGAGCCTAGCTCAGTGTATGTTACTAATTATCCTCATCCTAGTTCCTGGCCTTCCCCAATTGGCCCCCCAATTTTTAAAAAATGGAATAAGGAGGGGTGTCTGGGAGTGGGGAGCTGTCCAGTTCACTGCCCCACAGGAGAGGACAGGAAAAGAAAGCTGGTACCAAGTCATGGTGGCAGACCCTCCCAGGCTAAGGTTGGAGGTCTGGATGTATACCTTTTTCTAATGAACAATAAGGAACCATCAAAAATTTTTTAGCTGGGTTGGTTGTGACCTAACCAGAACTTTATTTTAGGGAAGTTTTTCAGACTTTCATGGAAAGAATAAAAATTAAGCCCCTCAGCACCAGGAGCTGTGGTCTTTGCAGTCCCCAGAGCTTAGCACAGTGTGTGGCACATAGTAGGTACTTCCTAAATGTTCATGGAATTAAAATGAGCTGGAGGAAAGTTGCAGTCCATCTGAATGTGGCACTCCGTGGTCCTTCTGCTTCCACTTGGTGTTGAACACTGCATGGAGCTCTTTACCAGGCATTTAATTCCTTCACTGAGTACTACTGGGTACCAATCATGGCTATTTACACTGGGGGATATGGGAGTGTGCAAACTAATGCAGTACCTCCCCTAAAGGAGTTCAGTGTCCTATGACTGAGACAGACATACTTAGAAGACATTAGAATGCCATTTGAAAAGGTGTTCAGTGGGTGCTTGTAGGGGATGTTGTAACATCCCAGTGGAGGCACGGGAAAGCCCTTTGGTAGTCAGGGAAGGTCTCACAGAGAAGAGCAATTTTAGTAGGGCTTTGGCGAATGAATAGGAGTTTATCAAAAAGAAAAAAAGAGTAAGATGTACGATCTGCAAGAGGAAGGGTTCATCGGTAAGGCCAGCCCTGCTTTGGTGAGAGGCAAAGGGGCCAGGATCCCAGGCCCCGCTAGGAGAGGCATAAAAATCCAAATTGGGCACTGGGATCTAACTAAATGTCCCCCCCCCAGCCACACTCCATTTGTTTAGTGTCTTTGTATACAACTGAAGTATCTCTCCTCTTTCTCCTCCAAACCTGGAAAGTGGACTTGGAAATCAAGTATGCAGTTCTTTGTGTAAGTTATGGGGTTAGAGCCGCTGTTTTACAGCACATGAGAGTGGCCCTGAGAATGCCCTAGAAATGAGCCCCCCACTCCCTCTTACCATTTCATGCAGAAAGGGGAAGAATGAATTCAATCTACATAAATATTTATTGAGCACCTGTTATGTGCCAAGCACTCTTCTGGGCACTGGGGACAAGGAACAAATTGGGGTGGGGGGGCAAAAACACCTTCATTCATGGAACTTGCATTCTGGTGGAATGCCTTATTCTGTCCTCCTGGAGTTTGGGCTTCAGGAACCAGCGGATCAAGCCCTTGCCCTCCCCCCTCCATCCCCAGGAGAACTTACCTCAGCTGCCAGCATGGAGGAGGCTCTCTCACAGGACTCATCCATGGATATTTACAGAGTTCTGCAGTACCTTTGCCCTACACCTTAGCTTCAGTCTGGTCCCTCTTGAGGGGAACCTAGATATTTCCAGGGCTCCAGATGTTTCCAAGGGGGCCTGTCTGTCCTCTTGACTTGGGGCTGACTGAGGCTGCTGTGTTGGCATTTTCTGGGGTCCTCTGGCAGCTGCACAGCCTGCAAGGGCCCTGTCTCAAGCACAACTCAGAGTTCCTCCCCATCTGGCCCTGTCTGTCTGCAGGTGAAGAGCGTGAACCTGTCTGACGGTGAGCTGCTCTCCATCCGCGGGGTGGACGGTCCTACCTTGACTGTCCTGGCCAACCAGACTCTCCTGGTAGAGGGACAGGTTATCCGAAGTCCCACCAACACCATCTCTGTCTACTTCCGGACCTTCCAGGATGATGTCCTTGGAACCTTCCAGCTGCACTATCAGGGTAACCTCACATCTAGGCTGATGGGGGCGGGGGGGGGGGTAGATGTTTGCCTCAGTTTCCCTCTGGAGCCAAGGATTCTCCAACTTTTTGTGCCAGGGATCCCTCCATCAGTTTGTTAAAACCTCTGGACCCCTTCTCAGAACCATGTTTTTGAAAGCGTAAAATAAAACCTTACACGATTAAGAAGGAAACTAGTCAGGTTGAATTACAGTTGTCAAAATATTATTTTAATCTGCAATGTCATAATCCACGTGCTTCTTTATTAACACATTAAATAATAATCTCCCCCGGCAGCTCTGGTAATTACTGTCATTTCAAAGTACTGAGGAACATAAGAAATATGTCAAGATATCTACCATGATATGAAAATATCTGTATTTCTTTTGGTGACGAAGTCACACGTTCTACAAATAGGTCATAGTCTGTTGCTTATCTACATGATTGAAGGAAATACCACCATTCAGTTAAAGGTAAATAGGAAACCAGCAAGCCACTTTTTCCCATTCAGATCCACAGCTCCTAAATTTCCTAAATGAATCCTCAGGAAAGTCCATGGATTTCTGGTAAAAAGCCTCAACTCCCAGGGGCCAACCCACAGGGGTCCGACTCTCTCTTTTCTTCTGCAATGTTTTTTTCTTTCCTTTTTGTCTGACTCTGAAGCTCCCCTCTTGCTTTCTGTTCATCTTGCTGTTCTCTCTCCCTTTCTTCCTTCCTCCTTGGTCCCCTCCCTCTTTTCTTGCCTCTTCATCCTTTCCTTCTCTCCCTCTCTTCTTTCCCTCCTTCCACTCTCCCTTCCCTCTGGCCGGCGCCCTCTCTCTCGCTCTCATCCCCTTTCTCTACCTCTGGAGACCTTCCCGTGACCTCAGGTTACTTCCCTGAACCACAAGCTCCTCTATGTCCTTGCCAGATACCTGCGCGGAGAGTGGAGTCTGCCCTCACACATCTGGATATTTGGGCACCCTCCACCTTGGCATCAAACTGAATGAACATCAGGAAAAACAGTTCCGTTGAAACTTTGCCCTAGGATGTTTCTGAAACAGGGGAATGAGTGTCTATGGGAGTACCCGCCTCATCACCACTTTCCAAGACCAAGACTCCCCCTGTTGTCTTGTCCATTACTGAATGGGGACAAAGAAATAGCTTGTAGAGCCCTTGGGTTGGATGTAATCCTCCCAGTGAGTTCTGGGATCATCAATACCTCATGCAGCGGGAGTGGTCAGACCATACAGCCAAAAGGAGCAGTTAGGAAGGTTTTCACATCCTCTTAGGAGAATCAAGGAGTTCAGCACGGTCCCCTAGAGCCTTCTACTGCCCCCAGCTAGATGTTGGACTAAGGAGGCTCTTTCTCGGTGTTTCCTGTTTAATCCTTACTGCCACTGGTGAGGCAGGGACAATTGTCGACTCCACTGGAAAGATGAGGAGAACCAAGTTCAGGGCACTCTGTCCCTTTCTCAAGGTCACACAGTCTCTAAGGGATGGAGGAAGAATGTAAACTCACATTGGTCTCCTCCACAGGCCAGGCCTGTGTGGGCCAGGATGGTTATTTTCAAGCTGTCCTATCCTTTGGCATTTCCTGAAGAGCTGCTTATTCGAGTTCTGGTCCAAGCTTGTGCGCATTTTTAACAAACACCGAAATTGTTTGTGCTGGTTGGACAAAACCCACCTGAGTCCTACGGTCCCTCCTTTCCCCAAGGAGAAGACAGCTCTGCATCCACATGGAGAGAGGCTTACAGGAGGTGTGGGAACTTATTCTTCACCCCAAACCTGTGATCTCTGGTTAGACAAGGTGGGGACCTTGGATCCCAGAAAAAGTGTCAATCTGACGGTCTCCTCACCCTATGATCAATGAGAGTTCCAAAAATACACACATACTGCCCCCACCCAGTGCTCTGGAGCCCCTAGGGGCCTTATCTTTTCTCCTCAGCACAAATTGGCTCCTGGAATGTGGGTCACGTTCTTCCTGTCCCGGCTCCTAAGGGATGACCATCTGCCTTTGCATTTTTCCCAGCCTTCATGCTGAGCTGCAATTTTCCTCGCCGGCCCAACTTCGGGGATGTCACGGTGATGGACCTGCACCCGGGTGGGGCGGCCCACTTCCACTGCCACCTGGGCTATGAGCTCCAGGGCGCCAAGACGCTGACTTGCATGAATGCCTCCAAGCCCCACTGGAGCAGCCAGGAGCCCATCTGTTCAGGTACGCTCCCCCCTCACCAGACCAGACATAGATAGTTCCCTCAGAGGCGAGACACCAACCCCCAGGGCATTAGACTGACCTTAGGGATAGGCGCCCAGCCCAGGGGAAGAGACTTCCCCCAAGATGGACAACTATGGCCATTGAAATCTCTAGTCTGTGGAAAAGCACACATCACCTAGAATTTACCATTAGCCACATTTAGCAGATCTGAAACTTCATGCAACCATCACCACTCTGTAGTTCTAGAACATCTCCATTGCTCCCTAAAGGAAACCTTGTATCCATTGGCACCTGCTCCCTAATTTCCCCTCCCCCATAACCCTTAACAACCAACAACATGCTTTCTGTGTCGATGGATGTTCCTCTTCTGGACATTTCATATAAAGGGGATCCTACAATACATGGTCTTTTCCAACTGGCTTCTTTCGCACAGGATCGTGTGTTTGAGGTTGACCCATGTCGTCACGTGGGTCAATACCTTGTTCCTTTTCATGGCCGAACCATATGTCTGTGTGTGACTCTGCCCTGTTTTATTGGTGTATTCATTGGTGGACGCTGGAGTTTTTCCCACTTCGGCAATGATGAATAACGCTGCTGCGAACATCTGTGTATCAGTTTTTGTGTGGACGTATGTTTTCTTTTCTCCTGGGTCCTATGGTAATTCTCTGGTTAACTTTTTAAGGAGTTGTCAAGCTATTTTCTGCAGAGGCTGCACCGTTTGTCTTTCACACCTACTGTGTGTGAGAGCTCCTCTTTCTCCACATCCTCGCCAGTACTTCTTATGTTACATGTTTTCTTTTTATGATTCTAGCCATCCTGGTGGGCAGGAAGCTTTCTCATTGTGGCTTTGATTTGCATTTCCCTGATGGCTAACAATGCTGAGTGGCTTCCCTGTGCCTCTCGGCCATTTGTAGATCTTCTTAGAGAGGTGTCTGTTCAAGTCCTTTGCCTGTTTGTTTGTTTTTTTTTAATTTTGTTATTTGTCTTTTTGTTGTTGTCCTTTACGTATTCTGGATATTAGATCCGTGTTAGGGATATGATTGGCAAATATTTTGTCCCTCCCTGTGGGTTGCTCTTTGACTTCTTTTTTTTAAAATTTACTTATTTATTTGAGAGAAAGAGAGAGCCGGGGGAGGGGCAGAAGGAGAGGGAGAAAGAGAATCCACAAGCAGACTCCCCACTGAATCTGGAGCCCGACCCCACTCAGGGCTTGATCCCAGGACCCTGAGATCATGCCCTGAGCTGAAACCAAGAGTCAGGTGCTTAGCCTACTGCACCACCCAGGTGCCCCACGTTTTTTCACTTCTTGCTATTGTGCTCTAATGCAGAAAAGCTTTTCATGCTGATAAAGTGTAACTTACTTTTTTCTTCTGTGGCTGTACTTTGGGTATGCCTGCTGCCACACTTTGAACCCAGTCCGTAGATACTGAGACACTGCCAGGGGTGCCGTAAATGTTCATGTAGCAATGCTGCATGATGACAACAATGCTGCATGATGACAACCATTACCTCCACATTACAGATGAGGAAACAGAGGCTCGGGGAGGTGAAGTCACTTGCCCAAAGTCAACAGATAGTAATTGAAATGAGTTCAGAGCCCTTCTCTTCTGAGCTGCTTTTCTCAAAGCATGGATGGTCTACAGACCAGCAAGATGACTACAGACAGATAGTTCTGGGCCCCCTACAGGACCAGCTGAATCAAAATCTCCATTTTAGCACACCCTTGTGTGATTTGCATGCACATTATAGATCAAGGGGCTCAGGGTTACCCTGTACTGTTAGGCATAGCCTTGATTATCCTCAGCTATCAAGAGAGAAAAACCATATTAGATTCTCAAAAGTTCCGGTGGTAGTCAGGAAAGCACAGGTCGCCTGTAATAACTGAGCACCTACTATGTTCCAGGGCCTGAGCCATGAAAAAGGAGAATACTGGGAATAATAATAAATTATTCCTTCCTTCCAGGCATTCAGAGTCAGGGGAATCTGAAAGCAAATGAGGCCTGATGACACATTCTGAGATTTGATTGTTGCAGTATTGTTTCCCCAAGGCCCTTTGGAATTTTTCTTCTTTGCTTTTTAACAAAAGGGAAATATCCAAACCATAGGGCAGTTGGGCTCTGTGCCTCTCCCACGTTAATTTTTATCTATGTGTGAAATCAGAGAGGAATTAAGCCTCAATTTGTGCTAAGAAAGATGGATGGGGAGCCACGGCTGGCAAATTGAAGCCAAACAGAGCCATCAGTTGGCTTAATAAGGCAAGGAAGGGGAGCAGAGAGGCAACAGATGAGCGGCAGCTTGGGGAGGACAGATGGCCGGTGCCCCCCACCAGGGTCTGTGCCCTCCGTCTCCTCAGATCCTGAGCCATAGGACAACAATACTGGCTATGTTTTGAGCACCTACTCTGTGCCAGGGACGGTGCCAGGTCCCCTGTGTGCATCATTTCACTGATTTCTCACCATAGCCCTATAAGCAGGGTGAAATCAGTATCACCTTTTGATAGTGAACTTGAGGTACAGAGTTTCCTTGACTTGTTCTAGATCCACAGAAGGTTGAGTGGCACAGGCGGGGTTTAAACCTCCACTTTAGGACAGGAAGGCAGTCGGGAAAGAGAGAGAGACAGACATACGCAGAGACCCAGACAGACGTGTGCACGTGCCTATACACACACCAAAAAGCCACACACCTCTGTCCATGGTGCTAAAAGACGTATAGGTGGTGGGGGTCTAGGTAGGGGCGTGGGGAAGGGGCTTCTAGGCAATGTCTTTGGTGTAAATCAGCACACTCCAGAGCATAGCAGAGAGCTATCTACCTTTTTGGCCACTGCAAGTCCTTATTGGTCATGCAGTCACCCAACAAACATTTAATGAGACCCAAGTGTCTCCTAAAAATAAGAAACAGATCTATCTCCCTCCAGTCCACAAATTATTTTTTAATATTTCTTTATTAGATTTTTTATGATAAAAGTAACATATATTCTGATAAAAAATCAAGAAATTCAAAATTGTAAAGATAGGAGCAAATTACTTTCATATTTATGGTCTCAATAGATTTTTGCAAATAGCTCATTGAAATAGGTAAGGTAGACAGACCATTTTGTAACTTGTTTTTTTTTCCCACTAAAAGTATATGAAGCATTATTCTATATTCCCAAGTATTCTTTAAGAACATGATTTTTAATAGCATGTGAATGGAGTGCATTTATTTTACCGAAGATCTGTGAGTCGATATGTGTGTGGCTTCTCGTTTTTCGCTTAGAAACACATCAGCAGTGAACACACTCATTCATAAATCCTGGTGAAAATATCCAATTCTTCCTTTTAGCATAAATTCCCAGAACTTTAATGACTAGGTCAGAGTTTGGGAACATACTTTCTAGATTTTTCTCCAAATTGCTCTCCTGAAAGGTCATAGCAATTTGCATTCTAACCAGTTATGAGTGAGACTGCCCATTTCCCACCACCTTTCCCATTGGCAAGTTATGGCTGCTTTTTACCTTGACCAATCAGATGGATGAAAATAGAAAGCCATCTACATATGCCTTTCTTTTGTTATGAGTGAGGCTGCATTTTTAGTGCTTACTAAATACTAAAAGTATATGTCTTCTTTTGTGGACTGCCTATTTACGTCCTTGATTACCATCTTATAGTAAAGAATCCAGGCACAGCCAGCACCATGGAAGAATCCTTAAATCACAGTTGTTCCTTAACATAGGACACACAAGGGGGTGGATCCAGGCATGGGATGAGGTCTCCTACCAAACAGGAAGAATCTTGTCCAAGACAAGAAGCCTTTTACCGTGTCTCCCTCTTCCCATCATGTTGCCTCCCACTAAGGGGTAGGGGTGAGGAAATCTCTCTCTCTCTCTCTCTGCTCTCCTTTCATGGTCATCCCCTCCTATTTTCTGCCCCCAGCCCCTTGTGGAGGGGCTGTACACAATGCCACCATTGGCCGGGTCCTCTCCCCAAGTTACCCAGGAAACACCAATGGGAGCCAGTTCTGCGTGTGGACAATTGAAGCTCCAGAGGGCCAGAAGCTACACCTGCACTTCGAGAGGCTGTCATTGCATGAGAAGGACAGGTAAGCCTCTGAGAGCTTACCCAGCAGCCTCCCTCCTTCCCAGAGTGTTGGAATGTGGTGAGGGATCTAGAGTCTTGAAATGGCTCATGGAGGTCGAGAAAGGAAAGGCTGGGGAGGTTGGCAAGGATATTAGACACCACCTTCGACCTCCTCCTTTTACAGGTAAGGAAACTTGGACATACAGAGGGAAAGCAACTTGCCCCAGGGCGTACATCAGGGTAGGGGAAGAGGCCTATTTCTCCTGCACATCCTTTTTTGCAGTTATCAAGGAGGGAGTACTCGCTGAGCACCTGCTCCGCACCCAGTCACACACTAAGCTCCATGGAGAACTGGAGAGAAGTAACAAGACATGGTTTCCAGTTTGATAGGAAATTGATGTGGAAACACTAGACTTGTACACAGGAAGGAACTAGGGAGAAGTTACAAGGCAATACTTAACCAAAAGCATGTCTGTAAACTCTAAATTATATGTATAGAATCCAGAATCTTAAAGCTTTCTTATTCTATGACTTTATCTAGAATATTCTTGAATGTTCTAGAAAAGTAAGACCTTAACCATTTAGACTTGTTGCCTTTGGTTGTGTTCCCTTGGAAATGGACATGGGGACAAGGATGTTAGGGAAAGTCACTCATTTGGCAGCTAAACCTGGGAAGCAGTAGTGGAGGCATGGGACAGTGGGCAGGGAAGGGAAAGGAGTAAACACAGTGTGTTTGTTAATGAGCAGGTGACTGTGGGGGCAGCTGGGGCTCTGTCTACTGGGGGCCTCTGGGAAACTGTATTAAACATGCCTCAGCATGATCCTTTTGGAGGCGCAAGGGAGCTGGTGTGACCCCCTTGCCCAGCCATCATTGAATGAGAGATGCTCCTGGATACACTATCTCCCCAGCACTGCCCACCACCCTTGGAGCTGGTTTTGCTGACTGGCAAGCCAGGCCCCTGTCATCCCAACCACAGTGGACACATGGCAAAATGGACAAACTGGTGCTTCAACATTTATGCATTTTAGTAATATTAGAAATTCATCTGGGCAGCATAAGATAAACCCTTTTTATTAGTCCCAGTAAACACACACACACACACACCTCACAGGATTAAAAATGCCTGTTTATGACTCCATAAAAGGAGTTTGTCTAATTTGTATACTATTTATCTCCCTAGTTTTACATAATTCCTTTAAAAATACCAAGACTAGCAAGGAGTCAAGTATCAAATGGTTTTAATAACAGTAAAAATGAATACCAATGTTTTGTGTAGCATATTTTCTTTTTCAGGGCACTTGATCCTGTCGTATTCTCAACCTGTAAGATAGGCGAGATGTTATAATCCTTCCTTTCATGGCTATGGAAACTGAGGCCCATGATGTGCTGAGACCTATGTATACCCAATTGGTGGAGAATTGGGAAGTAAAAATGAGGACTCTTGATTCCACACACAGGGCTTTTAGGATATTAGAATAAAAAACAGAGCCTATTAGGAGTCAAATGCTTAATAAACTTGACTCATATACCTACCCCTTCCTGGGCACATTATGCACATGGCCTCTAATTCCTACACTCTGATGTAGATGGGTGTGATTGTATCCATTTTACAAATGAAGAAACAGAGGCTCAGTGATGTGAAGTGTCCTTGTCCAAAGTGACACAGCTCAAAAGGTTATAGCTTTGGGATTCTGGTTGTCTGACTACCATTCTTTCAGCCTATTGATCTCTTTTCCTCAATTAGTAATAGTAATTAGTATACATTAATTAGTCTGGTTCATTATATCACACACATCATTTTTCCTGTGACTTCAGAATCCATCCATGAGTCTAGGACAAGCATTCTACAAAAGAGGAAACAGGTCGCATAAGGTGGAGCAGCTTGTCCAGACAAGTCAGGGGGTAAAGTTGGGATCTGTGTCTGGAAATGAGGCTCCAGAGGTGGCGTTCATTGCACATACCTCCTTTTGCCATGGTGTGTAGTTATCCTCCTGTCCACTTCCCACCCTGCTCCTCCCACCAGGATGTTGGTCTACAGTGGCCTGATCAACAAGTCTTCTCTTCTCTATGACTCCCTCCAAACTGAGAACGTCCCCTTTGAGGGTCTGCTGAGTGAGGGCAACAGCATCCGCATTGAGTTCACATCTGACCAGGCGCGAGCAGCCTCAGCCTTCAACATCCGGTTCGAGGGTAAGGGTCCCTGGGGTCCTCCACCATACTGGGTGATGGCATGGGCGAGGAGGAAGCATGACAGAGCTGGGCTGGGTCCTGGGAGCTAGAAATCTGACCTGCTAAGGGCAAGGGAGACCCAGTGGTCAGACTGACTCTTTGACTTCCAAAGTTAGACTCTGCAGGGTTGGGAGGGCAGGGGTTTATATTCCCATTTTAGAGATGAAAATATTGAGGTCCCAAAAAGCGAAGTGAATGGTCCAGAAGCCCTAAGCAGGTCAGCTGGAATTGAAACATGGGAGCTGGTGTCCATTTTCCTTGGAGTTTCCCTAAACACAGGAGGGGGTCCCATCTTCTGAGATCCAGCACTGTGAAGAACGCCTGCCTCATCTGCACTGCTCCCCCTCTTTTGTATCCCCACCCTAGCCTTTGAGAAAGGCCACTGTTATGAGCCTTACATTCAAAATGGGAATTTCACCACATCCGACCCGACCTACAACATCGGGACCATAGTGGAGTTCACGTGCGACCCTGGCCACTCTCTGGAGCAAGGTCCAGCCATTATTGAGTGCATCAATGTGCGGGACCCATACTGGAATGACACAGAGCCCTTGTGCAGAGGTGAGTGGCCCCACTGCCTTCTTTCCAAGGTGACGCAGGGACCTTCACTCCCTCAGATGAAAAGACCAAAGGTGCAGTCTAGAAGTATATGATAAATTTACATACCAATTTTAGCATTAGAACCCTTTCCAGGGCTCACTATCTTTGGGGTCAGATTTGCTGCTTGTCCTTGAGAAAAATTACAAAATTGATAAATTTTTAAAGGTGCCCTTTTCTCCAAGCACAGACCCCATAGTGCATAACTTAGTGAAAAGATCTCTGCATAGATTTCAGCTCCTCTATACCCCCTTGCTATGTACTTTTGTGCAGTGCACAACTCACCCAACCACACATGGCAGCCCTGAGTTTAATTAATAATGATAATGATATTAATAACAGGTGCCAAGGGCTGCATTTGCATTATCTGATTTAATCCTCACTATGACCCTGTGAGGCACATAGTATGGACCCCATGTACAGGTGAGAAACCTGAAGCTGTGAAGTGATATTCCTAAGAACAGACTGAGGGTAACTGGTACAGGTGGAAATGAAACTCAGGTCTCTCTGTTCTCAGAGACCTGTGTTCTGAGCCTCTCTGGATAACGTTGGCTGGACAGAACTCTCATCTCCATGGGATCCCACTGCCTTGCCCTGCCTTGTCTCCCTTCCCATATTCAAGGCCGCAGAGCCCCCATGAGCCTGGCTGCACTTGGAGCATGTGGTGCAATGAAGAGAGCCCTGGCTCCTGGCCGCTGCTGCCTGGATGGCAGTTGGCATGAAATCACAGCTTCGTCGTGGTGAGGGATTGATCCCTGTATTAAATGTGCTGGTTTAACAGAGCGGAATTTATTGGTGCTCTGGCCTCTGCCACATTGAGAACTTTCCAAAGTGGTAAACAGAGTGGAATTTAAAGAGCCAGGCTCCAGGCACGGCCACATCTCTACTTCCAGCTCAGAGCTGGGCTCTCTGGCAGTAATGTTAACTAAGAAGTATTGAGCCTTTACCTTGGGTCAGGCGTTCGGCTATACTTAACCCCCATGAGCTCAATCAAGCTCCAGAATAACCCAGCGGAGCCAGTGAGCAGTGGCATTACTACAGCTTTATGGAGGGAGGGAACTGCAACTCCAAAAAGTTGCACGCCTTGTCATTGAGTCTGTGGGGGTAGAGGCAAGACTCGAACCCAGGTCCACCTGAATGGAATATAGCATCTGTTAGCCACTACTCATCCTGCCCAAGAATAGGGCTGCTGCGGAATCATCCAGAACATTGAGCTCTGTCCTTGATCCTGAAAGAAGCACAGCGCCCTTAGCCCCACCTTCACCAACCATCAGCTAAAGGAGGCAGGCAGCCAGCCCTAACTTAGTCATCCCAAACACATGCACGGACTGCCTGAGGGGCAGACACCTGTTCTGGGTACATGGCGAGCCGTGACTGTCTGACTTCATAGCTCGAGCTCTTAACCGCTATGCCCTACTGGCTTCCTTATGAATAACATGCGTCTGTCTCTGTCTGTTTGTGTCTCTCTTCTGCAGCCATGTGTGGTGGGGAGCTCTCTGCCGTGGCCGGGGTGGTGCTATCCCCAAACTGGCCAGAGCCATATGTGGAAGGTGAAGATTGTATCTGGAAGATTCACGTAGGGGAGGAGAAACGGATCTTCTTAGATATCCAGTTGTGAGTGTTTCTGATGGGGGCCCTCCAGTCCAGCCCAATTAGGGAACAGATAGCTCCTGCTTTGTTCTTTGAGCCAGTGTTAATGAAGCATCAGCTAGGTGTCAGGGACTGTGTGCAAAGAGCTGGAGTCCCAGCAGTGGGAGAAATGACAGCATCACACACAGAGACAGGGTCCCTAGCCTCCAGACATTCTGTCTTCAGAGGAAGCAGGCATTAAAGGCGGAAATGCACCCACAATGGCATACCGTAATTTGGTGAGCAATGTAAGAATACATGAATGGTGCCATGAGATCCTATAGTGGGGATGTGATATAAAGAGGAAGGTCAGAAAAGCTTTCCCTGAGGATCCGATGCTAAAGCTCGGAACTAGCAAGTGTGTTGCTGTAAATACATCTGAAAGGAACAGAATATGCAAAGGCCCTGTGGCAAGTACAGTATTTGCAAAGGACTGAACAGCCAGTGTGGTTGGGAAGAGGGGGGAGGTATAACATGTGCCATCTGTACTGTAGCAGGTTATCTTCTTATCTGTCCTCTCAACTTGACCCGAAGGTCCTTGTAGTCAGAGCTTTCTCTGATTTATCTCTGACCTGGGATCTAACATAGAGCTTGCCACAGAGTAGGCACTCAGGAGACCAATGCTGCATGAACTGCTGTAATGGATGGTGTTACACGGCTGTGTGGCTGTTTGCTATAGTCAGTGGGGGTGTCTATGAGATGCTCTATCCAGAACTGTCCCTCTGCTGAACTCCCCAGGGATGAGGAGAAGCAGACAGAGACAGATGGTCATGTCTAGAGAAGCAGAAGAAAAGGCTTCCAGGCAGACCCAGACACTGTGCCTTGGACAGTGGAGGACAGGGGGGGAATGCCAAGTTCTGAAGGGCTTCTCTGGAGGCATCCAGGGCCTGGGGAGTGGGGGAGGGTGCTATTCCCCTCTAGCCTGAAGTAGAAACCCAGTGGGCTGGGAAGCAAGACCCAGGCTGCCTTGCTCTGCAGAGGAGCCTTGCAAGAGAGGAGTTTTCTGCAAAATTATGCTAAAATTTTGAAGTTGCCCCTTAGATCCTGGGGAGGTATCCTTGGAGGCTGCCCCAGGATCTTCTGCTCTAGTTGAATCAAAGATTCACAGACCTTTTCCAGTTGCCCCTTGCGGACTTGGGGCCAGGCCTACCTGGGTCAGAATTGCATCCCCATCTCTCCCCAGCTGTTTCCTTTGGGCTTCTTTCTGGTTTGGGTTTTGCTCATCGGTGATGAGGCTCTTGGAATATCAGTGTTTTGTGGCTGCTGGAGGCAGCTTGTAAGCATCCCTTGCTCGTTCCTGCCCTCACTCACTCGTTGGTGGGTGCTCACTCCTTCCTTCTGTTCTCACCTCTGACTTCAAGATTCAACTACTCAAGATGTAGTTTCTAAGTTGTCTACCATGAGCCAAGCCCAGATGTAGGCACTGGAAAGGCTCTGGCAGCTGTCCCTTGGGCAGTGAAGTTTATATTGGAGCAGAGCTGGTTGGATGATCTCTATTAGCTCTGAGGGAAAAAAAAAAAAAATACATATATGCCAACTGTGTGCAAGCACTAAGCTAATCTCTGGTGGTCCAGTTGTGAGAAAAAAAGAACCATCTGTGTCCTCACTGTGTAATGGGTGAGGCAGACATGAAACTATGCGGCGTGGTGAAAGCAGTGATAGGGAAGGAGGCCTGAGTGAAATCAAGGAGGGCTTCCAGGAGGAAGGGACTTCTGATCTGGGATGAAAGAGAATATAGGCAATGATGAGTGGAAGGGAAGTGTGTCCCAGACAGTGAGAACAGAATGTGCAAAGCCTGGAAATGAGAGAGAGGGTGGCCTGCTTAGTGACTTCAAAGAAGTTTAAGGTGGCTGGGGCATGGAGATTAGGTAAGGTTTATGGAGGGAAAGGGTCCAAGACCTGACATCTTCTTAGGTGAAGCTTCAAATAGAACACTCCTTTCTAAAGCTGTTCCCTCTGGGAAGCCTTCTGTGGCTCCCTACTGCCCCCATGGAAAATATGAACACATGGGCCTGGCTTATGAGCCCCTCTCCAACAGAAGCTCCCAGCAAGCCACTTCAATCTTCAGCCAGGAGAAAGAGAAACCAACTCCTGGTATCCTGGCTTCTGTTGCAGAAGGTCCTCCCAGCCCCACGCCCCCAGAAATTGTCCGTGCTCCCCACTTCTGCCACGCTCTGTGACCTTCTCCCTGCCGCATGCTCCCCAGAGCACGGTTCTGCTTCACCGAAAATGGCCCACGTCTCCCCTTGGTGACACAGGGCTGGATGAGGAAACAAGAAAACGGGAGCCCTTGCTTTCACTCTCTCTACGCATCAAATACTCAATTAACCTTCCGCTTGACACTAGATGGGGTTTTATTTGCACGGCAGAACACGCGATGGAACCTTCGTCCTGAGCAGTTAGGATCCTCAAAGCTGGGTGGCCACTGGCACCTACATCAGGAAGGGACCCCTTGTCGGGGTAGGGGGGTGGGGAGGCAGACGTTCTCTCTTCTGATCATCCTGGCAACCCCAGGTATGAGGGTTGCTGGAGAGAGAGGAGCCTCTGCTTCCCTCCTCTGTGCCATGCCAAGGATCCCTGAGCAGCCCCAGACCCTGCACCAAGCCTCTTTGGGCTTCACGTTCCTCCTCTGCGAAGCAGTGGGCTGCCTTGAACCAAGAGAGTGCAGACTCAGACTCACGGAGGGCCAGGGGAGTAAGGGAGAATGGGAACTGGGGCCAGTGTGGGGTGATGTGGAGGGGAGGGATCTGGGATGGAGGGGGTAGTGCATCCCCCATCAAATCATTTAAATTTCCTTTTTTTTTAAGAATAATGCTTTGCCCACCCCCCCTTGCCAAAAAAATATTGTGTCTGCTGTTTGGGTCCAAACTCGAGGGGCCACCTCTTTGTAAGCCTTGGTCTAGATGGGGATAAAGGTTCTTTCTCATTGCCATGATATAGAGAGCGATTTTCATCACTGAGTGTTTCCTGTTTGCAAAGTGCTTTTACATACACAGATTTATTCCCTCCCCAGAGTAGTCCTGTGGGGATAATACAGCTACTCTATTCAACTCGTATTCCCTGCCTTCTGACCTCTTTAGTTGGTTGCCTAAAAGGCCCCCTGAACAGGGGGTACCTGAAGTTAAACCCCCGATTTCCCTTCTGCAAACCCATTTCACCCCACCAGCCCATCTCAGGAAGGAGTCCCCTTCTGCCAGCTGCTCAGGACAAAAAGACTCAGGATTGTTCTAGACTGGTAGAATGGGTGTGTGTCCAACAACTGGCTTTCTCGGGGGGGAGAAACACCCTGATTCACCGCATTTGTTGATTTCTGCAGCATAAATACTCCCACCATGGCCCATTTCAAGCTACTAACACAGTGCCAACAGGATTGCTAGATGCCCGGACATTAAACAACTGACTCCCGAGCCAGAGTGAGCTGTGGGCCCCAGCACACTCACTGTGAATTGGGTTCTTCTCTTTCTCGCACTCCCTGTCTGCCGAGTCCTCAGTACCTCCTCCTGATTCTAGAATTCAAGAACCTTCAAGAGCCAGAAGATGTCCAGAGTCTAAGTGTGTGTGTGTGTCCTCCCCACCACTGCCACCATGGCCCATATCTCGTCCCAGGATTATTCCAGAAGCATCCTGCCTGGTCTCCCTGTTCCTGCTTTTGTCCCCTTTGGGGCTATTTGTAACCCACCACCCTGAGTGATCCTGTTAAAACCTAAGGCAGGCTCACCACACTGCTTCAAAGCCTACAGTAGCTCTATGTTTTACCTAGAGCAAAAGCCAAAGTTCTTACAAAAGATCCCATGTGACCTATTTCTCATCATGTCTCGTGTTTCACTGCTTTCCACTCCTCGTTCTCTCCATTTGGCCACACTGGCCTCCTTGTTGTGCCACAAACATACCCCAGGGCCTTTGCACTGGCTGTCTCTTCTCATCTCCTCTAACCCCAGGATGCTTTTCCCTGAATATCCTGCATAGCTCTCTCCCTAGTTCTTGTAGGTCTCTGACCCCAAATTACTCAGAGGACGAAGATGTCCCCCAATACCCTGATCTAAATCAGCCTCTCTTTCTTTTTTTTTTTTTTTAAGATTTTATTTTTCAGCAACCTCAACACCCAACACGGGGCCCAAACTCACAGCCCTGAGATCAAGAGTCTCATGCTCCACTGACATAACCAGCCACGTGCCCCAGCATCTTTGTCATTCTTGATATTCTTACCTTGCTTCCCATTTCCCTGTAGCACCTTGTACCACCCACCGTACCACATATTGTTAAATTTTTGAACCTGTCACCCCCTACACCAACAATGTCACATCCATGAGAATAAAGGGATTTGTTTTCCTATTTGAATCCCTGCTAGTATGTAGATCCAAGGCCTGGCCCCATAGTAGGTGCTCAGTAAAATAAGGGTCCATGAAGTTAAGACACCTTATCATGGCCATACAGCCATGAGGTTTCAAAGCCAGAATGTGAACCCCAGTTCATGTCCAGCTGCCTCCAATGCACAAGAAGGGGAGAAAAGGTCAGAAAAATATGGAAAGACCATCAAGATGTGGCCTTCTTTTATTGCTAAGTCTACATTTATTACATGACCAGCAATGTTAAGAAATAAGATTTTGGTTAAAAGCTATCAAGTAAAATAATCATAGTGGGAGGACCTGCAAGAGAAGGTTTTATAGAATGATAGTATCAAAGGATTTGCCGTCATAGATTTAGAAGCAGAATCTAGAGTGGTCTTCTGAGGAACCCCAACTCTGTGGTGCCCAAATCCACCAGTAGAGTTTGGGGACCAAGTGGGGTGGGGTGTGTGGAGGCTGGACCGTCCTTCTGGGTGATCATATGCTACGCCAAGCAGGAGGTGATGGTGGGACCACAGACAGTGGGGCTCTGAGCGGGGGCCATGAGGGAGGCTCCTTCCACGTGGGCACACAGCCAGCATCATCCCAACACCTTAGGTCTTGAAGCGACATCAAAATCAATTCAGTCCAGTTTCAGTC